TTAAGTGTAGGAGATGAAACTAATAATTACTTTATGTCAAATTCAAAAGTGTTTTTTCTGTTTTTAATCTTCTATTTTCTTTGGCCAAACTCCACTAGCTTGCACTTTGTTTGAATGGTTGTTACATATTATTTCATAATATATTGTATTGCATTGTATCGTACTGTATTGTTTTGAATATACAATGTTTAGATAGATTGTATCGTTCTCCTTAGTTACATAATGTCACATATCTATAATTCGAATAATAAACCTACAAGAAAAGTAAGGCATGAGGCAGAGCTACTATAAAAAGGTAGGTAAAATAATGAAGTATAATTATTAAATAATAAATAAAGATAAAATGAGAAAAAAAAAACATCAAGGTAACCATGCAATCACATCAAATCGATCTTTACATAAAATGAATCTTTTTCATTACTCAACTGTAGATTTAAACGATACAATACAATTGAATTTAAGTAACCATAAAAAAAACTAACAATATAACACGTAACAATCATCCAAACAAGATAAGCAAATTACTCTTCAATATATTTTTTTCAATATATATGTTTTTCTATATTTTGCAAATATAAGTGATAATATTATATAAGATAGTAAAGTATATCTAATTACGTAGTTTTCTCCTTTTTTTTTTCTTTTTTTCTCTCTTTTAGTGAGAACAAGTCTATTCCCCAATTATATGAGGGGCCAAACAAATGAATTGAGATATTACGAAAAGGTTGATGTGAGCAAGAGTAGGGGTGTGGTGAGCAACAAAACAAGTCTCTTCATCTTCTTGTTCAATGGCTTCACTCTGCTTCTCCCCATCGGTTCTCAGTTGTAAGATTAAACCTCCGATTACTGGATTTCGGAAGCAAAGATTGAGCCTTTTTGTATGTCGAGCAGCCTCCCTCACGTTTCGTGATCTTGATGCAGACGATTTTAGGCATCCTCTTGACAGACAGGTCATTCTTCTTCCCCTTTTTCCTGCTGCTGCTGCTGTTTAGATGCTCTTTCTCATGTTTTAATTGCCTTCACAGAATACGTTGCTTTTGAGAGCAATACCTGGTCTCAACGACATTGGAAAAGCCTTACTAGGTAACTCAATGATGACTTGTCTTAGTTTCCTAGTGTGCAAATGGAGTATTAGTATTACTACAACCACTAATTTTGCTGTCTAATATTTCAGGGACTGTTTCAGAGCAAATTATGCTTCTGGAGAACATAGGGACGTCAGTTCTTGTTTCGGAAAATCAGGTTATTCATTTTGCATCTAACTGTTAGGTCACTTCGTTCTGTGGATGCTTAATTACTTGTCTAGTGGAATTATCTATGGAAATAATGAAAAATCACCTAGTAACATAAGATTCTCAACATCCAGTGCATCCTGGTCTTAAAAAATAAAGAGGTCAGAGAGATCTTCACTCATCTAACTGATTTAACATGTCTTTCAGCTACCTGAACTTCATTACTTAATGGTTGAGGCTGCTAGAATACTCAATATTGAGGCTCCTGACTTGTATATACGTCAAAGTCCTGTACCCAATGCATATACCCTGGCTGTCAGTGGTAAAAAGCCTTTTGTAGTGGTTCATACAAGCCTTGTGGAGCTGCTCAGTCAAAAGGAATTGCAGGTATACATTTTGTATTTGATTTGCATTAACTTTCAAATGAGTGCTGTTAGCAGGGCCGGCTCTATGCTTTTAAAAATAAGGCCTTTGCCTTAGGCCCCCAAATTTCGGGGCCCCAAATTTTTATCAAGAATAAATTATGTGTTAAAATTTTTATAGAAAAATTAATTATTTATGATAAAAAGTATAATTTTTTTTAAAATAAATTATTTTATCCACTTTAACATCTTTTGTACTTTGTTAAAAATAAGAATTAACAGTGAAAAGTGTTGAACAAAGTGAATTACAAATTCTTTTTTATTTCTTTTTAAATTTTAGTTTCAAGCATTACTCTAAGCATATTAAAATGAGGTATACCAAGTCATCAACTTTTTGAGTCAAATTCTATGATTCTAAGCTTCTAACTCTTATCTTTATTTAATATTTATCAACTTATTACTTATATCATTATGTAAACAATGCATATAATAATTGTCTCACTTAAAGGATGTTTATCAATGTTGTGTTGATAAAATCTTACCTAAAACTAGTAACTCAAAAAACAATATTAAGTACTAATAATTTTCATCTTAATAGTGTAATTTTTCTTTTTTGAATAAATACGTATATGAAGTGTATTTATATTTTAGGCCGCGAATTGAAATTTCGCTTTAGGCCCCCAATTACATTGAGCCGCCCCTGGCTGTTAGTATCTACTTGTGGTTCTTGTATGCGATTCCGAACAAAGGCATGTATCAGTTTAGCTACTGCAAGAAGAATGATTTGCTTGGAAATTTTTCTGTATCTATCCCTATGGAAGGCTTAAGCATTATTTGAAGATCTTAACCTACTTTGATTTGTCTTTTCTTTTATTTTTTCGTGCATCAAATCATTCTTAGCTAACTTGGGTTATCAAGCTCAGGTTTAAGCATTACTTTTCTTGTCTTAATAATTTTTGCTGCATGCGTTTGATTTGCCTCTTTTATGTTCTTTGTTATTCTTTCCAGGCTGTCTTGGCTCATGAGTTAGGTCATCTGAAATGTGATCATGGTGTGTGGTTGACATTTGCTAATATTCTCACTCTTGGGGCCTACACTGTTCCTGGTATGGCTTACATTCTACTTTGCATAACACATAAATGATGAAATGAACATGGAAGTAGCAGATAATCCAGCCACTTCTGGTAAATTAACAGTCAAAAGGGTTGCAATGCAGAAGTTAAACAATACATATCCTAAGTCAATTTATATTGATTATCAGCAACAAATATTCCTGGAATATTTGAAATCGCATGATACTTATAGAAGTGCTTCAACGTGAATCTGTCTAGAGTCTCTTTGCATTGTAAATTGTATATCATCTATAAGAAAATGTAAAATATTACATGGCAGGTAAGTGTTGTTGCAAAGTTTTTGCCCTTATGTTTTCTATTTTAAAGCATCTTTCGTTTGGCATATGGATATTTTTATCAACATCCTGATGGTCTCATGTGTAACCATGGTGAACAAAAAGATTGTTGTTCTGATTTGATGATTCAAAACTGAAAAACTTGTTCACAACATATATGTGAAACTTTGTTTGCCCAAAAGTTTATGCTACAAAATGTTTCGGTTATCCAAAAAAAGTTAATGCTACAAAATGTTTATGATTAAGGGCATTAAGGCTCATAGTACATTTCATCTTAATGCTTGTATGGAATTCGACTCGAAGACCAACCTCCTTTGTATCGTACTCTTCTTGTACCTCGAAAGGGGGTCCCCCTTATGATGCTACGGACAGCTGTCTAAAGTACAAGGGGTAAACTTAGATAGGATAGGATGCTTTAGTGTATTGCTCCTTAGCTGCCAGTATGCATTTTTTGGGATTAGTTGTGTAGCTGCAAGCAACAAGAGGGGCATATTTCAGTTACAAATGATTTTGAAATCTTTTTACCCACAGGTGTTGGCAGTTTGATTGCTCAAAGACTAGAAGAACAGCTCTTACGCTGGCTTCGAGCAGCAGAACTCACCTGTGATCGTGCAGCACTTCTTGTTGCTCAAGATCCAAAGGTAGATGAAACCCGAATAGTAAATTCAGTTTAAGGGCATTAACCACATCAGAAAATCTTATGCATGAATTTCCTTTTCTTTTGTCATGCTCCCACAAGAGGTGGTTGTTTCAGTACTAATGAAATTAGCGGGCGGCTGCCCATCTCTGTCGGATCAACTGAATGTGGATGCATTCTTAGAGCAAGCTCGCTCTTATGACAAAGCATCATCAAGCCCAGTCGGGTGGTATATTAGGTGAATATAACTCTGTGATAGTTTGGCTTGCAATTTTCTTATTTTCGTAACTCTTTTTAAGCTCAACAAGTTCTCTTTAGAAATGCTCAAACAAGGCAACTTTCACATCCACTCCCTGTTTTACGTGCACGCGAGATCGATGAATGGTCAAGAAGTCAAGAGTATAGGTCACTTCTTCAGCGTGCAATACAGGTGAATTCTGTGCAAAAAGTTTAGCGCTTCAGGAGAATGAACATTGGAGCTGAATACATGTAAATATACAGGTATAGCATATGGATTACTCTTTATGCACTAATGTCTAAGAATTCAAAGTTTTCTGTAAATGTTTTAGGTACTATCTATTCTTCTTAAAATCTCAGATTGGATTCAGTGGAGTTGTTAGGAAAGGCTGGAGGAGCCTCTACTTTGTGGATGTAAACCAGGAAAAAGTGCTTCTTGTGTATGGTTTACAGTAAATCTAGAGTGGTTCAGTAGAATCACAATTTACGACTATCAGCTCGAACATTATGTATATGTATGTGTGTGAAAACCAAGTACTATGTGTTAAGATAAATATATATTTCACTCCACACTCTCATATGAAACAGTGTATTCTAAATCCTCCAAGTTTGCATTGTTTTAGAAGGTTTTTTGTAGTCCTCTTTTATGCATTTATAGGGTACAAGTCCAGCTGGTTTGGCGCAGATTTACATGGAATTTAAACCCACCGCAGCAGTTGAATGAATTGATGTCTACTTCCCATTGTAGTTCAATGATCTGAATTTGTAGTCATGAACCATGTGTGTATCACCAACAGGGTCATCAACATGTAAAACTGACCAGCAGCCACAAATATCCTGCATTTGTGCTCAGACTCTTGACACGATCTTCAAAGACCCATGAACATGAGAAAGGAAAACTAACAATATTGATGTCTGCCACATCCAATTTCCTTTCAGAAATTGCTTTAGAAGAACTGTTTATGTGCATCACTCATTTTGCATAGCATAGAGTTAAGAGCAACAATATAGCTACTATTCTACGTTCGTCACACAAAGCATCCAGATGTCCAACTGCTCCGTTACTCATAGCAACATAAGAAAAGAAACAATTGAGAGAACAAACTGAAAGGCCAGGAAGATGCTTGAAGAGCCAAAAAGATTATTTTCTGCTATACATGAAATCGTGAATACCTCTCTCTACCCAAAACAGTCCCCAGCACTATTTGCTTCTTGCAAAATACAATGCTATGGATGTGAGACCAGAAATGAGTGAAACAAAACATTCTTGGTTACACACCAAATGACTTCCACACTAGTAAATTATACAGCAGTTGGACACTTGGGCACGCGAGAGTCACATTGACTGACCCATAAGGTAAGAACAGCAATCATGAGGATTGATCTTCTGCCTTCAAAAAAATTTCAGAGCACGCCTCCTCCTCTCTACCCTTCTGTTCCTTGTAATTTACTTCAGTCGAATATGAGCTTTATTGTTGGCCTTTATTTTACTGAATTCTTCAGTGGGGTCTCTTTTGCTTTTTTCCCGATTTCTTCTTCTTGGTGCTAGCTCCTCTGCCTCGTTTAAACACAGCTAGAATCTCAATACTGCATCCAGTTAGATTAAAAGATCACCAAAGCTGTCAAAAGAATGAAGCTTCAAGCAAAAGCACTACCAACAAAGCAAGGGACAGGATCTAGAAAAAGAAGAAGATAACAATATGCATAAGGAAGAGGAGTTTAAAAATAAAACAAAGGAAAAAAAAGGTAAGGGGAACACTTATTTAACAAGAATTATCTATGTCCTAAATAGAAAAAACAAATCTTTCTTTTTGGTGTCTATAGTGAGCATCTACGAACCCCAGCCCTTCAACCTACTGATCTTCTGTGATGTCTTTCATTCCCTTGCTATCACCAATGGGATTGCTGAGTTCCAGTTGAGACCTATATTTCTCAACAATCAGTGACCACCAACGCACAATCTCAAATTTAGAAATGTCCTAACGACAGGCTTAGTCAAAATTAGTAAGTCCCTTCAGCACATCTAACACTACATAGAGTAGCGATTTCCACATAGAAGTGATGTGAACAGAAATGTCAGTATTTGTGAGCAGTGATTGAGAATCTTCCATCCTCTTCTCCATAGTGGCACGGATATAACACTATGCTGGAAGACCATTCACAATTTTTTGTGCAGCACAGAGTTTCTTCCTTCAAGCAGATGTGTTTATTATGCATATACGTGAATGGCAATAATAAATAATAGAAGTTATTGTAACCATGTTGGATGAAATTTAATGTTAGTTGAAACAAATACAAGTTTAAACTTGTCTGTAGGACTAAGGGAAAGGCAAAACCTTTGTGTTCCAGGAAAGAAATTAAAGCCATGGGCTTTATGCAAATGCCATTCCTTACTAGCTAGCAGTGACGAGCAATCCTGCATGAAAAAAGGGCCTATCATCAGCTTCAAGATGACATAATTCAGTACCCAAAGTTTTATGGCATCTTATGAACCAAAAACTTGATGGAACTGAATGATAGTTCAAACAAATTGTATGAAGACAGAAAGATCAAAGAGCTGCATCTCAATCTGAATTTTCTAATATGAATTTGAAGGCCACATATACCTCTTTAAAACTTTCCCAGCCACAGCTAATATAGATAAGCGTTTGAGGCAATGATTGATTTTCCTCATGTACAGTTGTGCTTTCAATTTGAATTGAATCTTCTCTGGCACGCAGGATCCACGGTCTCTTCTCGTCTTTGACCTTTTCAGGTCTAACATAACCAATAAAACATATGTGAATGACAGGAGCATCCTCAAATGCTGTAGTACATCAATGATCATGAATTTTCATAACATATATAGCAACCAATTTACTTCATAGAATTTCCCTTCACTCCACCTTTTAGATGTTCTGAATTCCACTGCTGAGATGTGCCGTAGTTCCTTCACCAAGGACGGGTCCAGTCCTTTCCTCGGAGGGTCAACCACAACAACATCCGATCCCAAGAGCCATGAAGTTGGTTCCTATGCAAGTTGTAAGTTCAAGTGAAACTTATACACACCATCAAAATCACAGACAGATATTCAGCATACCAACGGAGTTCTAGGTCTGGAAAAGAAAATTAAAACAAGTTGAGTCTACGAAGACATTGCAAAGTTTCCACCAGTAGAGTTTTCTCCAGAATTGAACTAAGAGGTCCAAGAGATATGATAATGTTAACTATGATGAAGCAAATAAATGATAACCTTATACAGTTTAATTAACCGCAGAAATTAGCGAAGCACTGACCTCTTTTTCCAATTTCCTACTTTTTACAGAGTGAATCAACAGCTCTCCATATGTTGCTGCTTTTCCAAACTTAAAGAAGAGGGAATAAAGAAACAGACATACACGTGTACTGCCAATGTCACCACTGTGAGTGAACTCACCATAGTGTGAAACGGAACTGGCCAAGTGGAAGAAAATTGAACTTAGAAGACTCATTAAGGCAGTTCTTCCAATAATAGAGAACCTATGAGGTAATTTTCAGAATTGCATCAGGTTTCCCAATCAAAGTACTACTTCTACTTGAGGATGATAGTGACCAAGGTTGATTGGAATACAATTATCATCACATCTTACGATGTAGCTCCATTTTGTGGATTTTATGTAGGACCAGATTGGCTACTAAGACAAAACTTCTGAAATGGAGAAACTCCACTTAATCAAGCTGTTTTTCTATGATACTAATACAGAATAGCTGCAAAAGTATACAGGGCAGGCCAAAATAGCTTGATGAGAAGATAATTTGATGCATGGCCTACTGAATTACAGTAGCTTATCCAAGATAGTCGGGATTACAATTGGCAAAAGTGTCTACTGAAACGGGATTACTAATAGTCTGCAGTTTGTTCGGAAAGAAAGTAACAATAGAGCCTTTCACAATAAGCAGATCCCTTTCAAGTATCTGTGTAGGATATATGCATTGCTCTGCTTAGAACTTCTAGGTGTAGGCATGTGCACCATGATTGAAATACCATTGGCTACTAGTCTTAGCTGAGGGTGCATTTTGAGTAGATGGTCACGTTCCTACTGCAGTATGTCCCATGTAATTTTGTAATGCTACATCCTATCTATTCTTGAATCAATTCTATCACACTTGCAAGACAAAAATCTATATGTAGATGTACATGATAAAACAGAAGTGTGTTTCTCAGTATCCGTATGAACACATAAATAGATCTCAAAAACCATATATTGAAGTAAAAATGCAGACAAGTTTATGCGACTAAAAACAAAGTGGTGCATGTTTGTGATGAAATCATATGTTTGTGATGACATATGTAATTGACTTGTTCAGACTTACTATTGAAGCGTCTGCATGGTGCCAGCTGATATTGCTTTCGACATTTGTAGGCAAGCGCTCCACTGTCTTCTCAAAAGATTGTCTGGACTCTTTGTTAACCTCAACACATTTAACTGACCTGAGAAGAAAACAAATTCTTAGGAATCTTGGAGTTATACTGTTCAAGTTAAGAGAATTGATTGGAAGTGCTTTGAAACTGACTCTGTCCAAATTCGATTGACTTAGTTGACTTTAAGGTTTAAACATAAATTAAAAGAGGGGAGTTCAGACATGTTATCTTCAGACAACTTATCAGATCTAAGTTCGCTATAGATGTGTTAAAACTATACCTAGAAGATGTGAACGGATATTTATCCACATAAGGGAGAGAAATGAAAATGCTGTAAAAATGTCACATCAAATTCAAAATAATGCACATGGAAAAATAATTGAAATAATACGAAGTGATTTTATCAACTGTTAACTTCAATTTTTGAATATGATAGAATTTTCCATTTCCAGAGAGATTAATCTTTTTGGGACTGACTAAAACAGACAGTAGGTCAATAAAAGGGGTAGAGGACTATTATCCCGACCTGCATTTCCTTGAAACAGCCAAAGACAAACCAATTACACCAGCTCCTGCATAGAGATCAACAACTGATGCACCTTGAGGGACATATTTCTGTAACTTCCGCAGCAAAGAATCAAAAGCCTAAAGAATGACAAACAAATTAAGTAAAATCGAGGGAAAACGTGTGGTAATGGGAAAATCGGTCAAGGTTGTATGGTGGGTTACCAAAATAAGAAAAAGATGATGATGAGAAATATGCCCCTAGAAAATTGCATGTTCTGTGGCTCAAACCAAGTTTAGGTCATCCTTAAGTGGGTTTAGTGTAAACTAAAATAAGAAAGTAATCATCAAAAACAAGCCATTGCAAGGTCAGAAGTTGTTGATTGGCCCAAGACTAAAACCAGAAGCAGAAGAAGGTAGGAAAAGAATGAAACTGAGTTATTTACCCAAAAGAAGACACGTCCAATGTACAGAATAAAGATTCTATTCTTTTTTCCTGATAAGTGGCTGTAATAAGGATTCATGGATGCTTATTCCTGCCGTGTCTAAATTTTCTGGAGTACTGAGAACCTTATTCATAGAAGACTCAGGCTGGAACAATCCATTATCGTGCTTGATCCATGAAATCTGTTCTATGTCTCGTCTATGCTACTTAAGTGGAGCACAAGGAAATGCTATAACACATGATTGATCTTTCCTTTAAGAAAAAAACAAATAAGATCCATTTTTAGGAGTTCTACCCGCGTATTTGCTTGCCCAAAGCTTGATGGAACTAAAGAGACATCAATCCCTCCAATGTGCTCCCAGAAATCTCTTTCCCCTAACAAATGTCTCCATCTGTTTCCAAATATAATCTGCATGCCAGCAAGAAGATATCAACAAACTGCGGCACTCTTATCAAGATATCAAAATACAGTAGATTAGTTCAATATTAGCAGTGCAGCTGACAAGGTTTAGTGGAATCTGGAAAGGAGAAATCTTGATAAATTTTGCATGCAACAATACAAATGGTATTGACGTTTGTTATTCACAATATTTGATCTACTAAAATCTGTATAATAATCTAAAGCACACTGGCTAAACTCTGAAGAAACAACTTACTTTTGAGGAGTCTTAGACTATGATCCAGTTGACATAGCTGATATCACAATAGGTACACTAACACCAAATTCTTATATATCAAACCGAGAAAGATTCTTATATGAGCAAGAACGTTCAAATAATTTTCATGCATAAGATAGGAAATTCACAAGTCTTTCTCATTGACTTTGTTCGAAATCATGGAGATGTGAAAGAACTTTACCATTTTAAAAAAAAAAATCATGGAGATGTGACAAGTAAAACTACACTGTTCAGTAACCTATTCAAAGAAAAAGGCGCCAATGTAGTTCAGTATCTACATTCAAATAACTTTGCAGTTCTGTTGGACAAGACAGTATAGGGAGCACAAAGCCAGGATCACAACCTTAAGAATCTGAATGTTTGATGCCTTTACCCTCCAGTAACCCTTAAAACGAGAAAGTTACAAGAACCATTTGTAATTATCATGTGTTGTGGTTTTTGTTGTCAAGTTGAGACTTCCCTGTTACCAGGTTCTTGAATAAAAGCAAAAACTAAAGGCATAATAAATAAATGTGCCCTTTAACTTGGCTTCAAATGCCATTGATGCCCTTCAACTTTGAGTGTGCACAAGTAGACATTCAAACTTGTACAAAATTGAACAAGTAGACACATGCGTCCTTATGACATACAAGTTCAATTTTATACAAGTTTAAGTGTCTACTTGTGCACACCCAAAGTCGGAGGGGATAGATGTCAGCTGAAACCAAGTAAAAGGGCATATTTATGTATTATGCCAAAACTAAAATATCTTCACTTCATGCAACCTCGCCAAGGAGCAAGAGTTTTCTTTTCTCTATGAAACTACTCCCTTCAATTTAGGAGCCATGTATCTCATCCATTTCATGGAACGGGAGGTCTATTTCTATAATTGGAACGGGTAGAAGGGGTCTTAAATTCATTAGCCAGCCACAAAACTCCACTGCCAATTTCCCAACTTTTATAAGAAGCTCATATTTAACACGGTGAACTACTCCTTTTACAGAAACTTGAGCTAACAAATTTAACATACAAGTATGAAGAGAGTATATTTGAAAAAATGACAGCACCAAAACCATTAAGTTGCTTTAACTTTTTCATTTAAAAAAGCTATATGTTTTAGTTGTTTTTTAACATAAAAAAAAAACATTTATTCCCAATTGAAGAGATAGACACTGCAAAATGAACGGACTACAAGCTATGCATCTCAATTTCGGATCGGCTAGGAAAAATGAAACAGACTACAAGCTATGCATCTCAATTTTGCATCGGCTAGGAAATGGAAACCAAGAATAAATTGATGGGATACTTTAAGGTAAGTAAACGAGCTATGATTAGTAGCATGCTTTTGTTTAGATCTCACACAGTGTACGAAAGGACCTCATACTGGCCAAACTATGAGCGAAAAGTTCCAATCATATATTATTGGCATCCATTCAGAGAGAGAGATATTTGCTCACATTATTTGATGATGTCTGGAAATTAGCCCAAACTGAATGAATTAAATGAACTTTTCTCTTTGGCCCACCGTTGCCCCATAGGAACTACAATAGCAAGTTAGATTCTGTAAAATTAATGTAATTCATTGATGACGAAATCTAGTATTGCTAACATCAATTTCTTACATTGGCTAAAGCATTTAATTTTCCGGTGTTAGCTGAATTCTCGCTTCTCGAATTCCAAACCAAAGAGACCTGCACTTTACCTGAAATGAGAGAATTTCTATCAACACCATCAAAGAATAATCATAAGCCTCTTATTCAGTATATCATGTACAAACCATTCTTATATCTCTCCGGGATAGGAAGGGAGGTATCATGTGTGGTGACGGCCATCTGCACAACAAGGAGTAGCACCTTAGTAAATAAAAAACACCAAAAAATCTCCATCAAACTATCTCACCAACCTAAATGTTTCCTCTGAAAACTTATATGTTTTTCTCACCTGAACATACCTCAGGTCACCAGTGCCTTGATCTTCATCATATGGTTCAACATTCAACTCAATTATCCCTGGATGTAATATCCAAATGAGAAGAAGGAATAGTACGTATAATTCATTCACATAAATTGGGGGGTGGATTAAGAACAAGCCTTTCTTCAGGAGCTGAACAGCAGCATTGATGTTTGGATGATGAGCTGCAAAAAGATGCCGGACTTAGATAATTATATACATTGTCTATACAATAAGCAGATATGTAAATATCCAAATAGCATACATTTACAATCAGGGATATCAACAACATTATGAGTGCCCTCCTCATAAAGCCCAATCAAGGGGTTGGTGGATGAACCGCGAACAGCCAGCTTAGCCCGACACCTCCATCCCCACTGCATTCACAAGACAGTTAATCTAGCTTACAAGTGATAGATGCCGTAAAATCATAGAATTTGAAAAATGAGCAAGCAAGCGATTACATACTAATCTACAGGAGTCAAAGGAAAAATCTTTGATTCCGAGCTTGTTGAAGAAACCAATAGCTTCATCAATTACAACCGGATGATGTAGATTGTACTCTTGAGTACAACCAGAACACCTGTCAAATTAGATGCAGTTCAACAAAAAAGCAAAATATTGAGGCAAATGAAACCTCTGTCTTCCACTTAAACTATGTATACAGCTTAATATAGGGCTACGCATGGTATGATATATACCAAATCATCATATCATATCATATCAAAATTACGGTACCATAACATAATGAGAAGAGAGAAGAATTTACGTACGATTGGAAATGAGTGCAGTTGAGGGCGCAGGACAAGGAAGAATTAGGGTTTACAGGGAGAGGTGCTACTGCTACTGATGGGACAGCAACGGAGAGAGCTTGACAGGTAATGCGATGGATTGGAAGAGCAGGCGGAGAGAAGAAGCTCAGCGCCATTGTTGTCTCTCTATAGGGAACGGATAAAATAGTTTTATCTATTTCCCACTATATATCCGGGTGGCAGACCGGTATCACAACCGGTTTTTTTATTTTGCGGTTTAATTAAACTACTAAAATCAACTTAAAAATCTTTCTTTTTTGCGATTATATTTTTTTTTGTATCAATAAATTTTAAGAATATTTTTGTAGCAATTAGTATTTAATTAAGCTTTTTAAAAGTGCTTCCAAACACCTCTTTTTTAATAAATAAATAAAAAGTTAATTATTGATTGAAAAGAAAAAACATTTTTGATCTTCTAAAAGTTTCGTTAAATATCTCATATTACAAAACTATTTTCCTAATGGACCTCCCAAAATAGATATGTGGAATCAACCTATTTCATTTTAGAGTTTCATGTAGCAAGAAAAAATACTATAGATTTTGCTAGGCCAAAGTCATCTGTAGCCACTCAAAGTTGTCCTCATTATTCATTTAGACACTTCAACTACACCTAGTACCTATTGAACACCTCTACCACCCCAGATTTGAACCATCTAAGCATTTTTTTATCACTTTTCATAAACGGCCAAGGCGCGTGTATTTAAGCTCCCCACGTGTATCCGACGTGTATAGAATAACCATTTAACAACTACCACGTGTATCCGACGTGTATTTGTAAATGTCTTAATTGGGGAAGATTCCTAAATCGTTAAAATTGACAGAACACTTCTCTCTCTCTCTTCGCGATTTTTTCCAAATTGAAGCTCTCCATCTTCGCGATTTCCTCCAGATTGAAGTTGGATTCGTCTTGTTCGTGTTACAATCTTGAAGATTTCCTTGTGTAAGTTAGGATTGTTAATGATTTTTACATGCTTTGTTAAATGAATTCCAAAAAGCTAGGGTTTTGTAAAAATATAGGGTTTGTGATTTTTGCGGATATTCTGTCCATTCTTTACTATTACCCAGAAAATATGCTTTAAACTTTGTTTTTTAGTTGTTGTATGGGATATATGAGTATATTCCGTTATCTTAAGCTAGGGTTTGTTTGATATTTTGTAGGGCTAACAATTGACCATGGAGGAAAGCGTTATATTTACAAAGATTTACCACGGTGGAATCTTATCCGAGATATCTGTCCCTACTTATGTTGGAAACTGTGTGTCTGCACTCAGGTATATTATTAAGGACCACTTTTCCATTTTGGAACTACTGTATTATACTAAAGAATTAGGGTATGAAACTGTTGGAGGCTTTTATGTGAAGGATTTATTAAATAAAAAATGGGTCCTAATTACAACTGACCAACATCTCCTACACCTAATTAAAGAATTAAAACATGAGGACACTTTTGAAGTATTTGTCTGTCATGTATTAGATGAACCCTTACTTGACACTGAGGGACCTAGAGGCTATCTAACTAATGTTGGTGGTGAAGGTGTTGATGTTGATCTTGGTGAAGAGGGTGAGGCTGTTAACTTAGGTGGAGAAGGTGAGGCTGTTGACCTAAGTGGAGAAGGTGAGGCTGTTAACCTTGGTGGTGAGGGTGTTGATGTTAACATTGGTGAAGAGGGTGTGGATGATAACCTAGGTAGAGATGGTGTGGATGATAACCTAGGTGGAGAAGGTGAATCTGATTTCTTGAGTAGTGATTCAGATCTAGATATACCTTCAGAAGATGGTTCAGATATTGATGAGGAGTTGAGAGCTTTTAGACAAGAAAGAAGAAACAAAAAACAGAGAAAAAAGGCTACTGAATTTGAAGAAATACCAGTTGGAGAGGCTGGTGGTATAGATAGAGGCTTTGAGGATATTGGAAAAAATAAAACTATCAAATATGCAGGAAAATTAGGTGGAGATGAGGATTATATTGATAGCTCAGACTGTTGAAGTGATGATAGTGATGAACAACTAGATGTGGATGCTGTTAGGGGAGTAGATATACCTACTAGAAGGAGAAGCAAAAAAGTTAGGTATGATGAAAATTGTGAAGTTTCAATATTTGAGCTTGGAATGGTCTTTGAGGGTGCAAATCAGTTCAGGAAAGCAGTAGCAGATTATGCTGTAGAGTACAGGAGGCAGATAAAGTTAAGACCTAATGAAAAACATAGAGTGAGGGTGAAGTGCAAAAATGCTAACTGTAAGTGGTTGTTATATGCTTCCATTCACAGGGACTCAGGTGATTTCATTGTGAAGAACTATCATCCTGTTCACAAGTGTATTCCATTAAACAGGAACAAGTTATGTAATTCAAAGTTAATTGCTAGAAAGTTTAAGGACAGAATTGTATCTCAACCATACATAAGGATTTGGGAAATTCAAGATTTGGTTAGAAAGACATTGGGTCTTTATGTTGGTAAGACTCTTTGTTACAGGGCTAAACAGAGGATTATGAAGGAAAACATGGGTGATTGGAAAGTCGAATTTGCCAGATTGTGTGACTATGCAGATATGATCAAACAAACCAATCCTGGAAGCTCTTGTTGGGTAAAAATTGATAAGGAAACTGAACCAGGAAAGAACCTTTTTGTGTATTTTTATGTGTGCTTTCATGCATTTAAGCAAGGATGGTTGGAGGGGTGTAGGAATATAATTGGATTTGATGGTTGTTTTCTTAAGGGAGCTTGTAAAGGTGAGCTATTAGTTGTTGTTGGAAAGAATGAGAACAATCAAATGTATCCCATTGCCTGGGCAGTTGTGGATACAGAAACAAAACATAGTTGGAGCTGGTTCATAAGGTATTTAATTGCTGATCTAAACTTGGGAACTGGTGAAGGTTTGACTGTAATGTCAGTTATGCAAAAGGTATTGATTATACATTTTTTTATATTTTAGTTTTAATTTGATCTTTACTTCTTCAATTACTTATTTTGTACATATTTTTTGTTAGGGACTTATTCCTGTCTTGTCAGAGTTGTTACCAAATGTTGAGAAAAGGATGTGTGCTAGACATATATGGAGTAACTGGCATGTGAACTGGAAAGGAGAAGAAAGAAGGAAACAATTTTGGAGATGCTCAAAGGCCTCCTTTGAAGTCAAGTTTGGAGAAGAAGTTCATGCAATGTCCAAGCTAGGTAAGAAGGAAATAACAGAGGACTTGCTACATTATGATCCCAGAAATTGATCTAGGGCCTTTTTCCAAACTCACTCCAAGTGTGATGTTGTAGAAAATAACATGTGTGAGACTTTCAATTCTTGGATCTTAACTGCTAGACATAAATCAATTATTACCATGTTAGAGGATATTAGGCATAAAATGATGAACAAACATATAGACATGATCAAATTTGCTGAAACATGGATATCAGACATTGCACCTATGGCAAGGGCAATACTAGAAAGAAACAAGGAGTATTCAAATAATTGTAATGTTCAATGGAATGGGTTGAATGGTTTTGAGATTAGTGAGGGGGAATATTCATTTGTTGTTGACTTGGAGAAGAAACATTGTGACTGTAGGTTGTGGATGTTGAGAGGTATTCCTTGCCCTCATGCTATTTGTGCTTATTATTACTTGAATCAAGATCCTGATCAACATGTAGAGCACTGGTATAAGAAGGAAACATTTCTCAAGGCTTACATCCATTTTATCCAACCTATTCCCAATATGAGGATGTGGCCTAAAACTACAAATCCATCAATAGAGCCTCCAAAACCAAGAAAAATGCCAGGCAGACCTGGCAAGAAGAGAAGAAAGAGTAAGGATGAGCCAAAAAAATGGGGGAAACTTTCAAGAAAAGGAGTAAAGATGACACGTACCATATGCAAGAAAACTGGTCATAACAAAGCTGTGTGTGCAAGAGTAAGTAATACTTCATATTCACATTTGTAAATTGCTTAAAAGTTTATATATATTATAATCATATATTTTATTTTGCGGTGACACAGTATACGAGGGGGAGCACTTCTCAACCTACAAGTCAAGGAAATTCAAGCCAACAAAGTTATTCTCAGACAGGAGTAAGATTTGATTTACATATTCATTTGCGTTAATTTTCATTGTATAAGTTATTCATAGCTCCTTATTTTTGTTCAATAGGTTAGAACACAATCAAGTCAACAAAGTTCTGTTTGTGCTGATACCACTGTTGTGCCAAGAACTACTCAAACAACAGTAAGATTAGATTTAATAATTCATTTACATTTTCTTATTGATCTACAAGTTATTCATATATCCTTATTTATGCTATATAGTCTACAATGGGAGGTCCATCGCATTCTACTTTCAGAACCACATATGCAACTACACAATCAAGTCAACCAAGTTCTATTTGTGTTGACACAGAATCTGTGCCAAGACGTCCTCAAAATAGGGTTCAAGTTGGGACTGGAAGAGGATTGGGAAGAAAAAAAGCTAATGTAAGAGGGACCCCAATTGTTACTGAAAGTGATAGTTCTTCTAGTCAACTGCCACCTTTATCAGGTCACAAAAGACCGTACAATTCTGCCTCATTTGCTGCTGCTACTGGAGGTAACAGAAGGCCTGCAACTGGTTTTGGTGTTTACTCTAATCCTACAACTGGAGCCCAAGTATTTAATGTATGTTTACTCTGTTTTGGTGTATATTCTGATAGCTATATTATGATCTTACCTTATCTTACACTTTCTTTCTTATATTATAGCCTGGTACATCAAGTGAGAAGATTCTACATGGGCCAACAAAATTGAAGAGTGCTTCACCAACCAATATAGACATTGGCTTTAAACCTCGTGGCCTAAAATGGAAGGGAAAAGATGCAGTTAGCACCTCACAGTTGCAACAAATGAAAGCAAACAGGAAAAACTAAAAGTAGTTCATTTAGAAAGTTGTTATGATTTGGCCCATGTTAAAAGGGTCTTCAACAAGCTACTCTTTAGTTTATTTTGAACACTCGTGTGATGTATTTTTGAACCATGCCTTTGTGTTAGCAAGACTATGTATTTTTGAACCATGCAAGACAATGGTTGTTTATTACCTCTCAATGCATTTGTGTTATGTATTTTTCAACCATGACTTTGTGTTATGTATTTTCCAGCCATGCATTTGTGTTATTAGCTCAGTTTTTGAACAACAATTACACAGGGTAAGTCGATCTCAGAACTAATTTCAGAACACAGGGCAAGTTAACAAACAGAGGCAAGTTATATGCAAGTTATAAAACAGAGGCAAGTAATAAAAGAGAAAGTGATCAATTCACACTAGAAGTTACAAAAGAGACACTGATCAATTCACATTCAAACTTCCAATTTGATATAAAATATGAACTTAACAGACCAATAAAGTACAACACTAATTACGTGAAATAGCCTCCTAACTACTGCAAAACTAAACAATTAAGTACTACAATTTTGAACTACACAATATTAAAGAACCATTCTATAGTTAGCAGACAAAGAAAAACAATCACAACTCGGTTAAATTTGACATTTTCCCAATCCCTTTGGAGTTTAACTTCCTTGAGCTTCTTGTTCAATACCATCAACTTCTCTTCATTTTCATTCAATTGAAATTTCAAAGAATCCCTTTCTTCTTCAAGCTCTTTCACTTTTCTCTTTAGTCGATCAATCGGATTATGACCATCTATGAATCTATTCATTAAGAATGATTCATCAACATTTTCAAGTGACGGATCAATCCATCTAAAATAGCCACATCCACCATTTTCCTACAAACCACATAATAGTAATAAATATACAAAAATGTTGATTTTTCAAATAATACAATAACAGTAGTCTTTGTTCAAATAACTACAAACCTTTGATGCTTTGCATCCAAAAAATCGACGACCTGGGTTCAATGGAGTCCTCGAAGTTTTCAGTCGACAATAATAACCACACTTACATACATCGACTTCCTCGATATTCACTGAACTTTGTGACATTTGATAAAACACAACTGATTTAGAAGAGAGAAACGTTGGATATTTAGAGGAAGAAGAGAGAATTGGGGATTAGGGTTCTAAAATGTATTTGGGGGAAGAAGAAGATTTTAACGTTGGATGTCTTAAATGCAGGGTAAAAAATGGGAGAAAAAATAATTCACGCGCCTGATTTGCGTGAATCACAAACGATTTGCCATGTAGGCAAAAAATGCTTAGATGGTTCAAATCTGGGGTGGTAGAGGTGTTCAATAGGTACTAGGTGTAGTTGAGGTGTCTAAATGAATAATGAGGACAACTTTGAGTGGCTACAGATGACTTTGGCCATTTTGCTAATAACAATAATATGGACAAATTTGATGATTTCTATGTAATATAAAAAATAAAAAAAAGTACATAGGAACTAGCTACCAATATTTTCTAAAAAAGATTGTAATCATTTTATCCTTTTATCTCGCTTTTTTTTATAATAACACTAATATGTATCTTATTTTCTTTGTAATATTATAAAACTATTACAATCTATCGGAATATTTTATATAAAAGAAATGAGATTTGAGTTGAACATAACAACAATGTAGTTGATGAATGGGGTGTGGAAAAGATGGTGTGTATACATTATTCTTATTTTTATGAAATAGAAAAATTACTTTCGATAGACTCTTTGCTCAAAAATTAAATAATAATTCATAGTATTCAAATCAATAATAATAATAATTCGTGAACATTTTTGTGTACATATTCTCATCATGGTCAAATTTTGATGAGGGGTCTTAGCTAGGCATAGTTCCTAAAAAAAGAAATAATTTGGTTATAAACAAGATCGTTGGCGTTGGTTGCCATGACGAAGTCAGCATGAGCATAATTCTTGATGTACTGAACATGCAATCTGTCTACATCGTGAAACTTTAGGTAGTCAAGTAATGTTTCAACATCTTTGCTATCGGACAGTGCATCTTGCCCACCGTAGCTCAAAAATAGGGGTAAATCACGAGGAATGTTGCCTAAATTATACTTGGGAGGTTTCGTTTCACCATAATGCTCCAAATTATAGTTGCTCCCGTAGTCGTATTTTGAAAGTATGCCATCTCTAACAGCTGCATCAATATATATTCACTCATTAAATTAAATTAAGTATCACGATGAATCTGACTCTAATAACATAATTAAGATAACTTACTCTGAGCCAAATGCACCAAGTTCTTAGTTGAAGTGGATTGAGGCTCGTCATTCAAGAAAATCTCAACGGTGGAGGAATTCAAACAACAATTCTTCCCTTTAATCAAGATGTAAGATAAGTTGTAGAGTATTTGTTAAAATATATAGTTCTAATTGACATAACTAATTAAGTAAATGTAGTTAGTACCAGTAATTGCAGTCATTAAGTCATAGCAATTTACCCCTGGCTGAGCACAGAAGAACTTGAGCAATTTGTTTACAGGTCCACTAAAAAATTCAACCAACAAATTACAAATTAAAAAAAAATATATATATATAAGAATTGTATAAAAAATAAATTAAAATGATGAATTAGTGAAGTTATTTAACTTACTTACCCCTTTGGATTAAACTCAGCAAGACCAAATATTGTGGTGATCTGCGGACACACACAAATATATATGTATAAATATATTTGTAATTAAGAGAGATGGATTGTAATATATAAATTAAATGCATAATATATAAATATGTCCTTCAACTTGATTTCAGTAATTGGTATATACGCCCTCTAACTTTGGGTCTGCGTACGTAGACACTTAAACTTATATAAAATTGAACAAGTAGACACACGTGTCCTACATGGCATAATACAAAATTGTCATGTAGGATGTCTAATATGTCTATTTGTTCAATTTTATACGAATTTAAGTTCCACTTGTGCAAACCCAAAATTAGAGGACATAGATATCAGATGAGACTAAGTTAAAAGACACATTTATATATTATACCAGAATAAAATATACATATATACTAACTTCACCAACAAAGGCTCTAGCAGCAACTTCACCAAGTGCAGTGGTCATATGGCTCAAATAAGCAATTGGACTGAGTAATGCTGCTGATTTAACTTTGTCTATTTCTCTTCCTTCTGAGAATGATGCCAAAGCTATCAAAGTTCCCTGTTACATTAATATATATTATGGCTATGAAATTTGAAACAAATTGTATAACCATCTCATCGATCGATCGATCGAACGTACATACCATTGAATGACCAACATAGTGTATTTTCTGTCCAGTTTGTTTGAAGATAAAGTCAATAACAGATGGTAAATCATGAACAATCAATTCATCCCATGACCAATTCCAGTATTCCTGCAAACAAATTGTTTCTTCAATAATCATTAATATAATGTTTATGTTTTTTTTAAATAATTTGAAAATTGACGATACCGAATCTCTAGCGTCAAGGGTGACATGACGACGACTGTATCTGGTTCCTCTGGTATTCGAAATCCAAACATCAAAACCATCATCTGCTAACATCATCGCCAAGGATTGTTCCGGTGGACTCAACAACCATGTTGCACCATCCTTAAAAATAATTATTTAAGTTATATAGACTGACGATAAGAAAACAATCATTTTTTTTTTTTAACTATATATATCATTTTTTAAAATGATTGGCACAAGGTCCACCACTAACTAGCTATATGGATATTTACTTTTGGATTGAAATAATTGGCAACAATCAATTACACAACTGGCAATGTATTGGATGCCATAATGGTGAAGATATTTAATGTCGGTTTCAGACATATAAACCTTCTACCTTAAGAAATCATAATGAGTAGAAATCATGATCATCACTCTTTTAGTATAATATTTAATTTATCGTGAAAGTTTGCTATCTCCGAGTTTTACTCCACCAATATCGGATCTGTCGGCTCGACCGGATCAAACGCTTATCATTAACTAATTTTTTTTTTAACGAAGTACACTATGCAAGCGTCATATTTGATCATGACTCTGACATTAGTCCCCCAACCTCCTTGTGAAACTTGCTATAGGCAGGATGTTGATATTAATCTACATTGTTGTGTGCAACTTTACAATTATTAACAATTTTAGAAGATAAAAAGAGCAAGTGTGAATGTGTCAATTATTACCACAAGAACTCCATGCTGCAACAAAACTTGCTGCCTGATTTGCCCACCTCCTCCTACACGGCCTTGTGGAATTCTTTGTACACTTAGTATGTATCCATCATCAGTTTTTACCTGAGACACATATATAATTAAGATTCCCAAACTAATAGATATATAATTGAAGAAATAAAATATATATATACCTCAAATTCTTGGCATTTGTAACCATGAGTGGCGACAGTGGAGGCGCACATACCCGCCCCATTGTCGCCATAACTAATGAAACCAAAGTGTCTTGAGCCTAACACTCGATTAGGCTCAAGCACAAACATAACTAATGTGAAAATACGTAAACATGACAAGATTGATATTGCCATTTCTATCTATAATTAGTAGAATGGAGAAGGGATATTGATGGGCAATGGTTGAACTGTACGTGAAAGAAGAGACAAATATTTATAGTCATGACATGATGGGGAATAATATGGATTGGTGTGAAAACGACTTGTTATCTTCTTCTTTTTTCCTCCTTGACACAACTGACTAACTTGAGGATCTTATATATACAACACCTTTTTATAAAGATATGGAAGGAATTATTAGTTTTATCTTGATAGTAAATATACCCCTTCATTTTGCAATATGAGTGAAATACATTCCTAAATTCTTAGAAATGTTTTCAACACTTCTCTCAGCTTTTTATTAAGAGGTGCATATTCATACAATCGTTTGAGATTACTTGTCAGTAGCAAATCGAGGGTCTAAATTTAGTTAGTTAAGTAGAGAAGTTTTTTGTAAGGCTATCAATAACTCTAAAACGAAACTAATAATTTATTTCACTTTTAAAAAAGTTTATTTATTGCTTTTGTTTACAACGCACTACTCATATACTATTGTTTCCAGTTTTTAGTATGAACGTACACACTAACTCTAAGAGAATGGGTATCGGTCGGGGTCCACCAATTATATGTGGAAGTTTCGTGATATACATACATAGTGTAAAGAGAGTGAAAAAAAATCAAGTTATATGCATCATCAACGTCAAGTGTAATATGTAGATTTTTATATTATCACCTTACTTTTATCAATTACAATTTGTATCATATCATGTTTTTTAATATTACAAATTTCAAATTTTAAAAAGACTTATTTATAGATAAATTTTGTATCAGAGTCAAAGTGATATATACATCGCTACTTTAAAAATGTAAATTAAATCATATACATTATCAAGTGCATGCACTAATTTCATCTATTGTGACACTTATCATATCTTATTTTCAAAATTACAAATCTTACCTATTAAAGTTACATTGATTTAACAACAACGTAAATAAATGATATTATATATAGAATTATAGAAAAAAATCAAAAGATTTTAATAACAAATCAATGAATACGAGATAGGTATATAGAGTATCTTTTAATTACATCATTATTGGTCATTTAATTTAAATAATATCTCACTTTAATTTTTTTATTTTGTTGCCTGATTTAGTGTAATTATCAAATGGTCGATAAGTTTTTATTTTTATTTTTTATGACCATGATGTCCGGGCCAGCTTTCGCACACAGCGACTAATTCTACTAAACCTGTCACTTTTTGCCAACATTATACGATATTAAATGGGTATTTTAATTTCTGGTGTTTGAAGCTCAACTGATATCTGTTAAATATTTTAAAACTTATGAAACCAATATTTAAATTTTAGGGAGATAAAGTGAGGCCAATTGTTGGCGGTTTTAATTTGGCATAGCATATTTTGTTGAGAATTTGCAATAAAAGGCCAATTTGTTGCCCATCATTAGTTTGCTTTTTGGCTACTTGTATACTAAAAGTTAAGAGAGGACAAACAATTTCACTCGTACGTTTAGGATAATTAGTTGTCAAATTTGTCTAACACACAAATAAAAGTGATCTATAAATCATTATTCAGTTTCATGCATGTTGAAAATAGTTATTATAAAATTAATAGATCCTAAAATGATACAAAGGAACATATTCAATATAAATTCTAAATTATAAAAATCACGTCATAGAAGATGAAATATATTTGTCTATATATCCCATCAACCATATGAAACAAGCTTTTATATATAGGAAACAAATATGATGTTGTATGTATATATAAATCCTTTCTATCCGTTCTAGCTTTGATGGACAGAGTTATTTGAACATATTGCTGATGGGAGGTCGCAGGTATCCCATGAAATTTATCAAGGCGCAAGAAAGTTAATCCAAACACCACGGTTTGTCAGTATATGTGGGGTAAAGATACCAATGTAGATCGTCCACTGACTGAAACGATAACGTAAATATAATACATTACATATGGTTATAAAAATAATTGTTATGACATAATAGTATTTATATTATATAATTATATATAGTGTAATTGGTAAAGGTCCACACGTCAAAGCAATCACATAATTCATGGAATCTGTTGCTATGTTCTTTATATTTTATATGTGCTGATGAAGTGGAAATTGGGAGAATACCAAGAAAGGGAAAAGGGGTCTTGAAATTAAAAAAATAAAATTGATAACTATATAATCAGCACTTTTTAATTAGTAGTTACAAGTGCTTATGCTTATGATAAACAAAATTTATATACCGTTAATTAGATATTTCGAATTGAGTATATATATTAAGTGTATCTGAATTAGTCGGATCAATTGGTTCCGAAAGTGAGAATGCAAAGGAAACAAGAGGAGATTCAAATTCAATACCATTCAATAATTTCGTATTTACCTTGAAAAGGCAACTAATTTAATGAGGTCGTTGACCATTGAAAGAATACTATTCGAAATTCAGAAGAACTGTGTAGAAGGCTATTGAACAACTCGAAAAAGATAGTTTATAGAGTCAAATTGCACAATTTTGGCTATAATTCATGAATTGCATTTTGTTGTTTTTTTAATGAATGTGATGTCTTGGTCAGCTTCCGCGCACCTTGACTATTCCACGAAATACCTATCACCTTCCACCAACAAACAAGTATCCGGTAACTCTATCCACCAAAGCTAAGGCTGCTGAATTTTGAACCTAAAACCTCAGGTTTCTCAACCACTTCATTGATGACTAGGCCACACCCTTGGTGCAAACACATTTTTTTTGTTGTTTCCCACCCGGTGTCCGATACCCACCTTGAAGCCCGACTAAATTCGATTTCGTGAGGGAATTCCCACATTGGGTAAAACACTCTCTAACAAAGGTGATTCTATACCCAAGGGAACTCAAACCCGAAACATTTTGATTAAGTATGAAGGAGTACTTACCACTCCATCACAACAAGACCTTCACAACCTTGTTGGCATTTTGTTGTTAAGACAACATGCACACTACTTGTTTGATTAAACTATGAAAAAATGTGCTATTTAACACCATCTCTTGCAAGGCCCAAACACATAACACATACTAGATCAAATGTGTTTGGGCCTAAACATGGCAACTATTAAGAGAGAAAATGGCAATCTGCTCATTGAGGAGCTGAAACATATATAAACAAGAAAGTGAACTACTGTTGATTAATTGGAAAGCAGTTTTTCTATATCTTTATACATAAAAAAGCCAAATTCAAGAATGAACATACCAGAACTCTACACATCTGTGTATTTGTGCCGAATTCTCATGGTCATTAAGTTATACTGACCATCAAAGTTCATATTCTATACCTTAAACATGCACATAAAACACAGACATATATTTATATATATATACCTTAAGAGAGACAACTTACTGGCCGGGTTATCAGCCAACAGTACGTGCTGGGCTCATTCTTTTCCTCCTTTCACTAAAGCTACGACTTGAGAGTAACCTTGGAAGACAACATTGTGCTGGCTTTGATGATTTGACATCAGATCTTAGCTCTCCATTGGGGGTTCTTTCGCTGTTACACACAGACGCATAAGGTGTCCCAGGTGTGGATTTTGGTGGAACTTGATCACCAGTAAATGCAGTTTCCTTTTTTGTATTCATGGCATTTTGCTCATTGAGCTCATTTCTCAAGCTTTCACTGAAAAGTTCAGACAATCTCTTCTTTTTTTCCTGTGGCGGTGATTGCTGAAAAGAAGCAGGGGCATCTCTGTTACCTTTTAAATTTCCAGCCAAGCTGGGATGGACAGGAGTACTCCCTCGAGAAGGCGTAAAATCTGCAATTAAAATAAAAGACAATGACAAGTAAACAACAAATTTATAGCAAGGGTGTTGCAAGCACTTTCTCAATTTTAAAAAAAGCTGATATATAACTACTTTTGTAGAATGGATCTCATCTGGGTGAATCATTAGGCACTTCCAGTAAGTCGGATCAAATACAAATATACTACGATAAATATTGTAGCTTATGAAACCTATGGAAAGGGATCAGGGAGAATACAGAAGAATATGAAGGCCACAAATTGATGGCATTCCTTTTGGTGTAAAGAGGAATATTGTGCAGATACCGACAGTATCAGTTCCTAGCAGACCTAAGGAAGGAACTCTATTGTTTTTTGTTGTACAGACTACACTCTTAGTGCTGCCAATTAACGAAAATTTCCTTTATTGATCAACAAAATGAAGCATACAACATCAATTGAAGAACATATCTTACCTCCATTCACACTAAGGAAGTCATCTTCACAATCAGAATCTAGCCAAGCCTGGGAATCAAAGAAGGTCTCCTCCTTACTACCTACAACGAGAAAGAAATGTCTTCAACTCTCAGATAAAAAGATGCAACTAAATTACACAACCGTAACACAAACATTATGCAGGAAGATGCTCCAACATTCTGCAAGGTGAGCTGTTTCACGCAGTGGTACTGTGAGAAACTAAGAAGAAAGCTGAAAGGAGTACTGAATCATAACACCTAATATGCATACTCAAAATAAATATATCTAATAGAGATCAAAGAAATGAGATTGGTTGGGACTTGGGATCATTCATAGGGTAAACCCCTGCGTCTTAGGTCTTTAATAGTAAGATGCACAAAAAGATGAATCATCTTCAAGAAACAGAGCTATAATTTGGGCACGTGATCAAGAACACAAGGTAATGAAATGGAATACTTGACAAGGGTAGATGAACTATCCTCTACTGACCTTTGTTAATCTACATGAACAGAACTGAATTTCGAGAAGGCTGAATGCAACTAGCAACTTCAAACTAATTGTATAACATTTTTCTTCTGCTATCAACAATGAAAAGTGAGGTAAATAAAACTTGTCAAGTGTGCCAATTTTATTAACAAAAAATCTGTTACATTCAGCTCTAAAACTCAGTGAATACTGAATATATGTCTGTCGAAAACACGCAACAAAGTTTGCACCAACCACAAAGAGATACCAGGTTGTAGCTTTTTATAAGAAATGTTCATTTAATCAAAGTAGTAGCGAGCAAGAAATAGAATAATGCGATGACTAAAGAAATCCTGTTTGGATTTGCTTTTGGCTTTTGACTTATAAGCCAAAAGCCACAAGTTAAAAATCCCAACTTATGGCTTTTGGCTTATTTTGAACATTTTACCTTAAAACCAAGTGCTTATAAGCACTTTTTCAATTTACTCAAACACTAGAAAAGTGCTTAAAAGCACTTAAAATAAGCTAATCGAAACAGGCTAATCTTCAAAAATCAGTTCTTAATAACTCATGTAATGAGGAGAACAATTCTATAATATACCACTATAGGAAGTAGTTAAAATGTATCTTGGGTTAAAGGTATACTTGTAAGCTATTTTCTTGTTCTTTTATGTTAAGCTGCTTTGTCTCCAGAAATAAAAAAATTCCCCTGCTCATGACAACATGTGCTACAGAGGCCCCATCAACCAAACAATTTTAATTTTGGCATTATACAAGATTCTAAAATAGATTCTTGTTCACTACTATTTCTTATTGAGAGCTAAATTATGAAAAGTATACATTAAATTGTTGTTTTCTAGCTACCAACCTCAAATATTCTCATCACTATTGTACTAATATGCCTAAAAGATGTTCATCAGATCAAACTAATTACCTCCTTAATTTTCCTTTAAAGCATTCCAAAACATCCACATAATCAAAATCCACCACAACATCTATAACCAAAATTTAAAGTTTATGAATTCTGAATGGACACAGAACCCATAACTCATCTTAGTGGGTTCACAATCAAAGTACCTCCACCCCTAATTAACATTTAACACAGGCAAGAATCTGATTAACTCAAATAGACAGCAACTCTGTAGCCAAATGAAAGAGAAACAATAATAGTAAGAGAATCAGATACCAAAATCAGGAAAGGCAGCAACAGGCGGTGAAGATCGATGAGTGGGTTTTTGTTGGAGAGGTGATGGGGTATGATGAGCAGTTTTGGACCCAAAAACAAGACGAAATTGAGGATCTTTGTGCACTGAAACACATGAACCCATTTCTTCTTTAACAATCACAAATTAATCCATAGAATTTAGACAAGTACAAGTGAGAGAAAACACCTAAAGAGGGAAGAACAAAGGTCCTGCCTGCTACTATTACGCATACACAAAGAGTGACTGAAAAAACTCTTCAATTGGGACTTGAAAGCGAAGTTATCGTTTTCCCAAAGAGTAGAATGGCTTTGGTCCCACACTATAAGTGCCCTTTCCCATTCGGTGTCCTATACTTATTTAAGATTTTTTCATATTCAAGAAAGATTTCTAATTTAAAAAACCACATCCACAATAACGAATCCTTTGGTTGGTTATTTTACCACATAACGACTTAATAGTCGCATTTATTTGACAGATTGAATTTAAATGTACCTATTTTTAACATGATTGAGATACACCTCTAAATTTTCGTCAAATTTAAGAGTGTTTTCAAGAGTTTCATGCATCTGCAAGAGTTTGAGACCACTTTTTATGTCATGTAACAGATTGTGAACGTATCTGAATTTAGTTAATTAAGTAAATGAATGTTTTTAAGACTGTTAATAATTTGGAAAGTTGAGTGGTGGTGAGTGGGAAAAGATTTGTTTTTGCTTAATCATGAGGTATGCTCTATTTGCTACCTAATTAATTTAAATTTATGCTAAATATATGTCTATCAAAGATCTAATTAATAATATAAAAGACTTTTTTGTATATAAATTACAAGGGATAATATTGATTAATTTCCTTGGAATTATGTGACCTTTTAGAATTATTATCATGTGATAGTTGCATAGGAATGTGGCTGGAAAAGTGGCAAGTTTATGGCTTCACCTTAGTTCAGATTCCCCTTTTTGCTGATGAGAAAAGTATTCTTTGTGTGTGTGTGTTTTTTTTTTCTTCATGTCTATTATATAATATAAAAATTAAAATTAAAATTAAAAATACACTTGTAAATGGTTATAAGCTAATTAGAAATCTCGAGTTCAATCATGTAAATGAAGTCGTCTTTAATAGAGATTATCGCTATACTTTCAAAATGATTTTCTTAATAAGTTTAGATTAATCAAATTTCAAATAAGTCTCAAATATAAATCAAACGAAAAAAAAAAGATATATGTAGTTGAGGGGAAGGTGAGAACATTAAATATAACTTATCTTTTGTACTAGCTAGGTCAATATGCAAATTAAATGAATATGAATGCATGGTGTTTAATATTTTGGTCCTGACAAGTTGTAAATTGTAACAACCCAATACTGCAAGAATAAGACATGCAAATAATGAGTCTACTATATCATTTTATTTTTTCTCACCCGGTGTTCAAAATTCATATTGGATCTCTAAATACTTTCAACGATGAAACAATTTTACTACAACACCACAACATATCAATGTCTTATGGGTTCAAACTTTATCACTCCTTCAACCAAGTAGAGAAAAAAAACGCTATATATTTATAGAACTTAATTTTCTGCCATCTTTATTATTATTATTGTTATTGTTATTTGTCATTATTGCTAGCTAGACCAAATTTAGTATGTGTTCGTTAAAAAAATGAGATTAAACAAAAAAGGTCTACGTCTATATGTAGTGTAAACGTTGATGAGAATATGATATATAACAGTTTTTTTACTATCCTAATTAAATAGATGAAAGACTCTAGCTAATTTATGATAGAAATATTTGAACTCATAATAATAAAAAATAAAATACGCCGTCTAATACTAAAAAAATTTAATATATGGACTCATACTATTATAATCAGTGGCAGCCATGAATTTCATAAAGGGTGTCCACAAATAGCATAATAAAAGTTTTTTTCAAAAAGTAGAACTAGTGAGATTCAAACATACGAGCACTACCTCATTCCAAGCATCTAAAACCACTGGGCTACAATAGTTTGTAGTGTTAAGGGTGTCTAAAATATGTTATTTAATCATTTCATGTATCATTTTACTTGTATATACAAAAAAATTTCCAACGAAGGGTGTCTAATTGGACACTCTACCACCATATAGCAACGTGATTGATTATAACTATATTCATTCTTAACTAGAAATTTTGAATTTCAAATCCTGCTAAGTATTGAATCACCTTTATTAGAGATCGTTTTACTTCTAATATGAAACTTTCCTTTAGCCGAATCTGATACAAATCCAAATCAAAAAAATCCTAACATATATGTTAGGAATTGCATTAGCTCATAATTAGGTGTTGGAAGAAAATGAGTAAATTATTATGTCATTTTCTGATAGGACGATATTTTAGTCACTTAAATTGACAAATACTCTGTACATAAGAACCAGTCAGGCCCCCACACAGATATAGCAACATCATGTCTTTTCATTTTATCCTCGCATTACAAATCTTATTTTGTTACATATTATTATATCTTTTTTGAATTTAAGTCTTGAAAATAAACAGTTTTACTCAAATTCTAACTATTATAGGTCAAAATTCTAACAAATCTTTAACATAATCTAACTGATAAATATCTACGATATTGAAAAGGACTCATCTTCACTCCAAATCTCATCCTTTACGATAAGACTTTAAAAATGGTTTTCAAATTGATCTAGATGTTGAAACTCTTCAAAAATATACTTTTTAAAATAAATTAATTTGTATCCTTTTGAAGAGAAAACATTGATATAATAAATATTAAAGTGGGTACCTCCCCATATATTAACTCAATTTTCCCAAAGGTATAAGCTAGTGTGGTCCAACCCTTCTCACATATACAATTAATATATGATTAATTAATTGTTAAAGATACTTAAACAGGAGATAACACCATAAGGAGAAAAGGTTGGATAGTGAAAAGTATATAGTAGAGAAAGCAATAAGTGAGCTTTTTGTCCATTTGCTTTTTTCATTAGTCGGTCATCACTTGATTTGATGGCCAATGCCCATATACTTATATGTTAGGCTTCGGATTGATAAACCTTTAGATTGATAAATTTTTAAACGCTATGACATTTCATATATTAAAATAATAAAAGAGGAAAGTGAAGAGTTTACAAGGTATATATAGCTCAACTACAATATTGATCGATTTTTTGATTTTGAGTATGCTTTTTTTTTTATAACTTTAGTATATATTGTGTACTACTCAATATATACTAGTAATTAATTTGTTGGACTATATAACTAATATTCGATTTTGAATAAAAACAGATTTGAATGGGACACTATTAACTGTTTCCTCATATATAGTGATACGAGTTCTTACTCATCACTCTGACTCATGCACCACTCATTATGAATCTATTGCAAAATATCTTTGCTCCACTTTGCTCCTATTATTCACAAATCAATTCTGTGTTGACCATTTAATTTATTTTTTTCGGAAACTTATCGAAATTTCACTAGTTTAGTGATTAATTATTTAGATATATATATTTAAATTTGTAATATTACGAATCTTATCAGATTTTGGTGCGTCCAGATACATGAGGTCAAAATTAGGTGTAATTTGTTCTAAATACACTGTATCCAAGTGGATTTGCTTGTATATGGGATACATGACTATCTCCCTCCTCATCTCGCTCGCCTCCCTCCCCATCTCGCTCGCCTCTCTCCCTATTGTAGTATATTTGGTAGCAAAAATATATGTATTTAGGTGTATCTTCCTCAACATATGATAGAGAACTCTTAATTAGTGGTAGGGGTGTACATGGCAGGGTTGGTTCGGGTTTTTCAACTATCAAGTCAAACCATTTGTGTCGGATTTTTAAATTTATAAACCAAACCAATAAAACTCGGGGTTTTCAACCTCGGGTTTTTTCGGGTTTTTCAACCTCGGGTTTTTTCGGGTTTTTCGGGTTGTTTCGGGTTTTTCCGATAAAGTATTCATACAAACATATAATTTACTTGTACTTCAAATATTTCTTTAGTCCTACATAAAATACAACTATCTAGGATGTTTCTTAAAAATATAACACAATATGATATGATTAATGACACTAAAATATCCAACAAAAATAATAATAATAATGAAATCGCGTAAAACAAATATTGCAAATTAACAAGTCATAATGAAAATGATCATAATTTAAAAGTACTAAATCATGCTAAAATTAAGTTTAATAAGTATTAGTTACATGACTAAATATTAAAGAAAATTAAAACTAGATTATGTATTTTAATTGTCTAAACCAATGTAAAACTAAAGAACAAATATTCAATATTATTGTCATTCTTAGTGTTGAATTGATTTTCTTTTTGCATTAGTATTAATTTGATTTTGATTTAAGTTTTATTATAATTATCAACATCTGTGGACTATAATCTTTATTGGCCCATTCATAATTCTAAGTTTCAAACTTGAAATAATATATTAAAAGATAAAAACTATGGAAAAGTATAAGAAATATTTAAAAATTATATCAAAGTAAATATTTTTATGTATAAAATAAAATTTTAAAATTATATATATAAATTCGGGTTGGTTTGGTCTCGGGTTAGTTTTTTTTAGTTAAAACCAAACCAACCCAAATATAGTCGGGTTTTTTTTTTCAAAACCAAATCAAGTCAAACCAAACCACTAGTCGGATTTTTTTTCGGGTTGACTCGGTTTGCGGTTTGGTTCGGTTTTCGGTTCGATTTTGTACACCCCTAATTAGTGATATACATAGTTATTTGAAAATATAGGTAAAATTAATACTATATGATATAAATGTATATCTAATAAGATAGTTTTCCCTATTTTGTTTAGAGCAACTTTCACATATAACAAACATAAAAATCAAATTTGTATGATATAACTATAGTTTGTATAATTGCGCTCCATAGCAAACATAATGTTTGCTATGGAGCATCAAATTGTATAATTCGTTGGCTCCTCTTCAGATTTGTATAATTTCGCTGGCAGACCATTTGTATAAATTGTTGTTAGCCTCTCGTTTGTATAAATCTCTAGCAGCCTCTTAATTCAATTTTATGTGTTTGTATATCTACATAAAATTTGAATTTGTATACACTTGAATCAAAATAAAACGTTTGTATATCAAATCTCTCTCTCGCTTTATACAAACATAAATTATACATACTATTTTGTATAATCTGTGTTTGTAAAAAGCGAGAAAGAGAGAAAGGCAAAAAAGAACTGGGTAGGGGAATATTTGTATTGTATAATTATAAGTGTATAGGACGAAGATATATGTATTCGCATGTGTATATACAATTTAATTTCTCTCACTTTATACAAATGAAAACGCAATTTATACATTTCTGTTTGTATAAAGTGAGAGAGGCGAGGGAGAGACTAGCGAGCGAGAGAGGGAGAGTGACGAGCGAGAATTTCAGGGAGAGAGGTGATTGGCAACAGTTTGCTACGGGGCATAATTAAATCAAACCGTGGTTATAACCTTTAATTTGAATTAATAGTTTGTCATTAAATACAATTTCCCCTTTTGTTTATGGAAATACTACTTTGGGCTCAGCTTCAATCAGCCCACCATAAAAATTCATGTTGATCAACCCATTTAATATTGGGCCATTAATAGGGAAAATTAGCAATTAAGTCATAATAGCTAACATAATTAGTCAAAATAACAATACTTTAAAATATTTATTTAAAATGGCAGAATGACAATATTTTTATAAAATAATATGTATTCAGATTTTAGTATTTTAAATTAACAGTCCTATATTAGACCAAATTATATATCAATAACCGTTTAAAGTGAAAAAAATAAATTTAAACCAATACCATTAACCTTTTTTCATTACCATTCACGTTTCTTCCCCAACTTTCACATTTCTTCCCCATCTTTCACGTTTCAAGTTTATCTTTCTTCAAAGTGCTAAATTGTTGTTCATCAAGAAATTTTCTTTATTGTTAAACGAATTCTCTTTATTAATTCAAGCAGATTTCTCGGTTGGCAAGGTAATTTTCATTATCAATTTTGATTTTTTTTATTGATGTTTAAATCACTGATTCTATACATTACGGATTTTCAGTCAATTTTTCCAATTTTTATGTGATTTTGTTTAAATATTCATCATATATTTATTAATTTCATTTTTTTTTTGTGATTTTCTTTTAATTTTTCAGATTTTGTAGATTCTAGAAATTCATATATATGTTTGTTTTGTTTGATATTTAATACATTTTAAAATTTGATAATATCAAAATTTGCTTTTAGGGTTTTAGATTACGGGGAAAACATCTGATTGTCTACAATGACTGAGTCAATCAGAATTACTAGAGGTATACCAAATAATATTCAAAATTTTGGGGAATTTCCCTCATTTGATTTGTGTATTACCCAAGGGTTGCATTGTATTTCAATCTCAATTAGTATACCAACATGTTTGTATTTCCTTCTTAATTTGTATTCATCCTAACTGTATGCTAACAATTTTGTATTTTATTGGGTATTCATTCTGTATTTCAATCTCAATTTATATGTGAACAAGTTTGTATTTCTCTTTTGTTTTGTATTCAACCTAATTGTATACCAACAAGTTTTGTATTTTATGTGTCTACTTTACCTTTTAAAGTCACTTTGTATTTCAAATGAAGGGAGTATTTAATTTCTTTTGTATTCACAACTTTATATTTAATCTCACTTTGTATTTATAACTTTGTATTTTCATCTCATTTTTGTATTCATATATTGTTGTATTCAACATATAGTTCATGATCGATTTGTTACATTAACTTAATGGGATACAAATTATTGTGTGCATTCAAATAGAAAAAACAACTACTAAACTAAAAAAAAAACAATTTCATTTGTTATACATCATAATTTGGATACAAAACATCCGAAAAAAGCTACAAATCCCAATGCATACAAAGATTTCACTGATTCAATCAGAAAAAAAAAAAACACTCTTGTACTCGACACATACGAATATCTCATCCAAACAAATAAAAAAATCAAAAAAAATACCTGATTGTTTTTCGATTGTTCACTGGATGCGACAAATTTATAATTGTCAATTTTGAAAAATTCTGTTTAAAAAATATGTCGTATTCAACTTGAAGAAGTTTTGAAAGTTATCAGATGAATGATTCGGAAGACAAACTAAATTATTTTAAAAATTTTTTATGTTCTTAAGAAGAAAGCAAAAAAAGGCTCAACGGAAAGATGGCTATTTATTCTCTTTTCAAAACGTAACTGATTTGTATTTAAAATCTTTTTTACCTCTTTTGATTTTTTTGTTCCATGATTTTCTTTGTTCTGTTATTAATTATTTGTATTCTTTCAAATTAATCAAAATAAAATAAATACATAATTAATCCCTTAACAAACTAAAATAATGACATTTTTAATAAATAATGAAACTGTTGCTAAGGAGTCCCACTAAAAGCTAAAATATTGCTCTTTTGAAAAATTTCCCAATTATATATACGAGTAGTTATTTGTTGCCCAATGTCAAATTATCGACATCTATATATGTTAGATAGTATTAGATTGATCACAATATGGTTTGAAATTGTAATTGTGAAAAAGGAATGTCTTTCATTAATGAATATTGAGAATGCATGTATATATCAAAATCAAATATCCATATAAAGAATGTACTATATATTTATCAATACAAAATTAACAAACTAATGACTATGTTGCTTGTACTCTCAAAAAAATACGATTGATATATGTAACTAGCAACGCATCATAATGACAAACTCCTCAAAATTGAGCAAACCATCACCATTGATATCATATGTGGCTATCATTCCTCTGCACTCATCAACAGTCCTCTTCTCCCCTAACCTATGAAGCATTCTCATTAAACTCTCCGGCGTTATGCATCCACACCCTTCCATCTCATACATCCTAAACGCCTCCTTCAACTCGCGCTCCTTCTCTTCTTCCGTCCCTCCATCTTCCACTAATCTCATAAAATCGCCAAAATCTAATAAGCCATCGTTGTCCGAGTCATGGGCCACAATTGCTGCCTCTGCCTCCTCAAACAACAATATGTCTTTGCCTATCAAATGCACACATAGTTGCAACTCCAATGCTGATATTTTCCCATCTCCATTCTCATCTATATGCTCAAAAAGTCGTTTGTATCCTTCCATCCTTAATTATATCAACCACACTATGTATATTGAGAAAGCGCACAATCACAAACAAAGAAAGTAGAGAAGAAAAATAACCCAAGGATTTAACGAAATAGAGTATTCCACTATGAAAGAAATGTCAGAAGCGTACAATGTTGTAAAATCTTCAAATATATATATAGATTTCAAGTAGTCCTAAACCTATAAAGACAACATTTTCTTTTCTCAAATCTATCAGTAGGGATTATGAGTTTCGCGAGAAAAATGGAAAACAAAAGTGAGAGGAATAATAGAATTCAACTAGGTATTGAGAATAAACCATATAGTATATAATATATATATATATATGTTTGAAAGTAGAAAAGTAAAATTAACAACGCGTGGTGTGTGTGTAAAGGAGATTAATATAAAGGTGTGTTTGGTTATTGATTTATCAAATTTCGTCGACTTGTTAGAGGAAACAACATAGAAGTATCTGAGAATGTTCCAAGTTTTGTGGAAGAAGAAGATAAAAGTCATTTTGGATTAGAATATTTTAAAGTCAAATAAATAACCAGTAAAACATAGTTTTCTCAGCCCTTATATTGGGTGTAATAAAGTCCAAATTCAACGTATTCAAGGTGATATATATATAAAAGCTTTAAATCGTAGAACTCACACCTTAAAAAAATATTGATTTTCCTAATTACCATTTTATTCTAGATTATTAAAATAAAATACTTATATATGTTGGCTAGCTAGTTGCCATGTTTTTATTTTGTTGGTAAAAGAATCTGTTAAAATATTTTGTTTCCTCAAAATGTGTGTTACTGCGCATGCATCGTCCATCATCTGGATCGATGACCTGTACTCCAAAAGAATGTTAGCGTGTAAATGATTCATAAACCTAAATAGAGTAAGAGAGTTGATAAGAGAAACAAAGATGATAATAGAGATCATATCGAAAATCAAAAGAATTTCGCCGTCGTTAGGTGTGAAGCATGCATGGTTGTTAGTTAATATATCAATTTTCACACCATGGATTATTTATTTAATTTCGTTGAACGTGTTATGCATTGGACGGTTCATTTCAGTGTTAGCTAAACAAATCGATCGTTCATTTATAAGATTTGTCCATAACACATATTCCAAAGGTATTCATATTAATTATACTAGGCCTATTACTACAGCTACAAGGCCCACCCTTGTTATATTTATTTCGCGTATCTAGGATTGTTCAAAATCGAATCGAAAATATCGGTAATTGGTTATTGATTTAGGCAGTTCAGTAATGAGTTTTGATTTTTTTATCATTGAGTTATCAGTTCTTAACGGTTAGATGTTTTTTCTTAACAGGCTAATCGATAATCCGATAGAAAATCAATAAATTATGTTTATACCATTCGATATCTATCTATACTATCTTAAAAGCATGAACTCCCAAACTGCTTGAATGTTGAATTACAATAATACCCCCAATTAAAAAATACCTAATTTATTTTTTTTATTTTATTTATTAATTTAACTAATTTTATTATATTGAAAGTAGATACCTTTTCAAATTAAAGGATTGCGACTTTTTTAATGAGTTGTGACTTTTACAAAGGGTTGTATCTTTTTTTTGCACAGGTTGTGACTTTTTCAATGAGTTGTGACTTTTTCGAAGGGTTGTGACTTTTCTAAAGGTTGTGCATTTTTGATTTGTTAGTTTAATTAATTTTATTATATTGAAAGTAGATACCTTTTCAAATTAAAGGATTGTGACTTTTTCAATGAATTGTGACTTTTCCAAAGGGTTTGTAACTTTTTTGGCAGATTGTGACTTTTTCAATGAGTTGTGACTTTTCTGAAGGGTTGTGATTTTTTCGAAGGGTTGTGACTTTTCTAAAGGTTGTGCCTTTTTGATGAGTTGTGCCTTTTTTTTAAAGTGTTGTGACTTTTCCGATAAGCATCGACTTTTTCGAAAGGTTGTAACTTTTCGATAAGGCACAATTAACACCTATTCATACTACTATTTGATAGCTATAAATAGAGGGGTTTCCTCACACTTTTAAACTATTCTCAAAAAAATGTCAAGTGGTATTTGCAAAAATTGATTATGTTTGAAATTCAAAAAAAATATAGGTACTTCATATGAAAGAGTTGGTGAAAAAATTGTAGCAAATCATTCATCAATTCACACTTGTATTTTTTCTTACAATTTTCATTAGTTAACAGTGACGAAAAGTTGTGGGAGAGACAATAATATTAAACAGATATGAAAAAAGGCATATGATTTGGGTAAGATATTTCTTCTTTGTTTTTTTTTTTTTTTTATTCTTTTCCCTCAAACGAAGGAGTTTCTTCCTAATTTTGCTAAAACAATGGATATCAACGTAGTCCATTGAATTATTAGTTTTGATGTTAAATTCACTACTTCAAAAATATATTTTCACTTTTACTTATAATATGATAACATTGCCATGATAATAATTAGTTTTTAATAGATATGCATGTAAAAATTAACGGAGAAAGTAAAGTGTTGGTGGCAACATATTTAAATAAAATGGAACACTAGAGTGAATTTAGCATGAACATATATTTTCGTTTTCCTTCTTCATTGGCTATATATTGTTCCATATAATTTTTCTTTATATCACAAGATACACTAGCTATATAAAAATGGATAAGAAAATAGTTATTGATCATAAAATGATCTTAAATCAAATTAATTATTCTACAAATAATACTTTAAATTTTATTAATCCATTAATTTTTATTATTGAAAATTTTAAATATTTTATATCATGATACAACTTCTATAAGATACTAGCTACTTTCATTAGACAACAACAATATGTATTAATAATTTAAAAACACTTGTCCTATGTTTGTTCAATTATAATTATTTACTAAAAAACATTTATTTAGTAATATTAATTATGTTTTACAACATCATATACTATATATACGATACACACGTGCAATGCACGTGCCGTAAAACTAGTATAATTAAAGTCCTTAACTTAGAGTTTAGTTTCATATTTTTATTTTTTATTGTCTCAAACTCTTGATTATTCTACAATATGTCAGTGTTACACTTTTGAGCAAGATGAAATCTATCAAGTCACGTGCATGGTTCGTTCATTTGGTTTGTCACCTTGTTTCTAAGTGATCTTTAATGATTTTTTTTGTATTAAATCTCTTAATGATTAAATTTATAACAATTAATAACTAATAAGAATATTTTAATAATTTAATAAAGATTTAACATATCTACAGACTAATAATCGATAAGTCAAATCAATAAATTTCAAAACCGATTGAACACTTTTATAAAAGTTGCTAAAGTTAAAGTTCACATGGAAATTGTGATGAAGAGTAAGTTGATGGTAAAGTAAGTGCATGTCCATGCAAATTCGGTGGACGCGGTCGATGAACTAATTTACATTGGACACGTGTCATTTAATTTCTCTGCCAGTCGTGTGGACTGTAATTTCTCCCAATCAGATCTTTTCGTTAACCACGACAAATACAAATAAATGTGGGACCCAATTCAATTTCCTCCACCACTTGATGATTGACACGTGTCGAGAAGCTCGTGTCATTGTCGTAAATAAATCCCACATTCAGGGACAATGTTTCACTCTCCACCATCTTCGCGTCTCTAAAACCCCAATTTGCTTACTCTAGAGAAACCCTCTTGTTTTCTCTGGGCGGCTATACAGAGTATCATTTTTCCGGCCGGCAATGGCATTGCTCAGCCGTATTAGAGCGGCGGCACAGCCATTTATTCGGACTGAATCTCTACGGTCTTACGGATCAGCTGCGGCTCAGCTAGTAGACTACGATTACGATGATTACGAATACGAAGACTATCAGAACCGGAGCTGCGTAATGGAGGAATCTGAGGGATCGGTTCCTCGAAGGGGAGTGCAGTGGGTGATTATGGGTGATCCAATGGCACAGAGACACGTGTATGCCCAGTGGCTCTCGAAGCTGCTAGATGTCCCTCATATTTCCATGGGTTCACTCGTTCGTCAAGAGCTCCACCCTCGTTCTTCTCTCTACAAGCAGGTTTTTATTTATTCTGCATTTCTGTTTGTTTGAGCTTTCAATCTATCTGCAATGGAAAAATGAAAAGAAAAATTGTTCTTTTAGTTATTTGCTTATTTTTGACAAATTATTAAATAATTGAAAGAAATTAGCTTTGAATTGAGGGATTGAATACCGAGATTTACTTAGAATTGATCCATGCTAATTCAGAATGAAATGTATAAAAAAGCTTGATTGAGCTGGTCTTATTCAATTTTGTCAAAAATATACTACTGTCAAACCTTTAATTGCTGGCTTGATTAAATGTTACATAAGTAGAAAAATTGTACTTTTAGAACAGGTAAATTTGATTTTCCATTAGTAATTTGTCATGTAATATGGAACAAAGGAGTACTTTCTTTTGCTTTAAGATAGTCTCACATTACACACTTTTTCTTGTCCTTTTGTTTGTTTAATCCAATAGTACTTTCCATCTTTGTCTTTGGCTCAATGAAGATAGCAGATGCTATCAACCAGGGAAAACTTGTCCCGGAAGAGGTTATATTTGGTTTATTGTCAAAGAGGCTAGAAGAAGGATATTGCAGTGGTGAAAGTGGATTCATCTTGGATGGGATTCCTCGATCAAAGATTCAAGCTGTAAGTATAGCCTCCCTTCCATATCGTAAGCAGTCTCTCTACCTCTGAGGTAGGCCGTAGGGGTAAGGTTTGTATACCCCAAACCCCACTTTGTGGGATTACAGTATGTATGTTGTTGTTGTTGTTGACTTCTAGTGTTCTGGACAGAATAATACATAAACTTGTTAATAAAACGTCGAAAGTAAATTTTATTGTACTTCTCTCAGACTTTGATCAAAGAGGCCTGTTTATTTTCAAATGATTTATGTTGAACTGGTGTTGGAAATTACATGCACTTCTGGTTTATTTCTGCAGGAGATCCTGGACAAAACTGTGGACATAGATTTAGTTCTGAATCTTAAATGTGCAGAGGATTTGGTGTCAAAGAAAGATAAAAG